CTGATGTTTGTCAACACTCACCACGTTACTGAACCCTTCAGACCCATGTCGGTGAACCACGTGGATGTTGGTGGAGTACTCTTGACCTTGCATTTGCTACGTACCGTAGCCGAAGCCGCGCCACAATATTATTAATTATAATCTATTTATTATAAAATATACTGAATTATATTATATATTTATATTACTATTTTCTGATATTGTATTGGATATATATATATATATATATATAAAGGTTATAGTTGTGTAATTATATGTATATACATAATACATTTACCTATTAATTCTGAAAAGCATCTCTTCTGATAGCATCCCACGGACTTGATGAAAACTCTTAACGTGGAAAAATTGTATACTTACAACATTTTAAATTGCTGATTCCCATTTATTATTATTTTCGCAGTAGTTCGGTATAGATTTAATTTCGATTCTAACGTTTCAGGATTTACCCTGTAAGGTACATATTATCATTTAAATACTAAAACACAACAAAATACGTTCCTATAAGAAAATCATACATTAGGTATAGGCAAGTTTTAAAAATATAAAACAGTTTTTTTCGGAATTCACTTTTACATAACTTTTGTCTTTGTTTTACACGTAATATTGTGTTTCAGACTCCACACAACCCCACTGAATTCGATAGAATTATTTGGGGGGGGGGAGGGGTAGGGAAAGTTTTTACTGGATATAGTAATACTCATATACGTAGGTCATACCTAGGTGCTTTGCCCCACAATTCCACATTTCTATGATTGCGTCTAAACCATAAGTGTTAAGTATAAATAATGAACATGAATATAAGTCAACATAATATAAATCAGTGAATATTATACAAAATATATTTAGAATAATGTATCTATGATTATTTCGATACCTATCAATTTTCCAATCATTTTCTATGTATAACTAAAAGGGTCTCTTTATTTTTCACATAGCCGAGAAAGTAAGTTTGCAAATTGCAACTGTTTAATTTACAACTTATAAACGTTTAAATAATTTAAGGAAAATATTTTTAATTATTGTTTTCTTTAAAACAACACAACTTATTTCATTTTCAGCAGTTCCCAATTGTTCAATACTGTTTTAGCCTTTTGGCAACCTTCCGAAAAATATTGATTTTAGACCGATACAATAAGCCCTAAAGGTAATTCAAATGTATGAATTATTTATTCGAATTTATACAAATATTTTAAGTCAAAATTGTATCAAATCATTTTTTTTTTAAATAAACTTTAAAAATTGACTGATTTAAAAAGAAACTGTAAGTTAAAAACCACGATGTATTTTGTGTATTATCTTCATCATACGTTAAATTACCATTACCCAGTGCCCTATTTATTTTAGGAAAACACATGGTTTTTTATTCAAATATACTACTGAAGATAAACCATGCTAACAGTCTCGTAGAGGGGAGATGGTATTTTGCGCCAAATTAATTACTTGTAATTTGCGCCATCAATAGGTATATTTGAGAGCGTATGTAGGTACTTTGCGCCACCTCTAAAAATTAATTTTGGTAATATGTGCCACGACGGAAAACGAAATTGAATATGTAATCTTCGCCACACTTTCAATTTTAATTGTTGGAATTTACCAGCAGATAAATTTACTGACATCTCATTGTAAATACGATAATACCAACAACGCGTGCTGGATATAATATTATTTCTGTGCTCTACTAATAATAAGTAGAGAAGAGATCGATTACTTCTAATCTAATAAAAATTATCAACTGTCAAAATATCAAACAATATTAACAGCACGCAGTACATACAAGCCTGGAAATAAGCGATTTAAAAAGTTAAAGTTAAGTTAATTTTAACTTTTTAACTTAACTTTTTTAAATTTAATCACAAATGTACAATTATTAAGAACGTAATATTATTAAATATTTTCTCCATAAATAAGTTATTTTTTAATTAAAATCAATTAGGTTATGCTCATATATTGGCTATTTCCTGTGTTTAATAATATTTATGAATTTTATTATTTTAAACCATATTAATCGGTATTTATAAAGATTAAAAAAAATAATAAAATAATAATAACTTAATTCAAGTTAATACAAGTTAATTGAAAATGTTCATATAACTTTTAACTTCACTCGGTTAAAAAAAAATATTAGGTTAACTATTAACTTTAAACTTTTTAAAATGTTTTCTATCAACTTAACTTAATTCAGTTAAAAATTATCATTAACTTGCCTAGACTTGAGTATATCATGATATTTACAGTAGACCGATTTAATCGCAAAAATATTAAAAACTATTTATCTAATATACATAGAGTACGCATGCTTATATACATTTATTTATAATTATTATAATATTACTGATTTTCTATTAAAATGAACTTAATTATTTAGTTATTTTAAAGTGGCGCAAATTACAATTCTAACAAGGGGAATAATGGTGCAAATTACAATTTTTGTAGGTAAACGATGGCACAGATTACTTAATGCCCTTTTATTAAGTTTTGTGTGGCGCAAACTACAACCTTAAAAAGTGGTGCAAATTACCAAAATTAATTTTTAGATGTGGCGCAAATTACATAAATATTTTTTGGAAGGGGTTGTTTTTGGCGCAAATTACATACGCCCTCCTAGAGTTTTTAACAATAGAGTCAGTATTATTTATAACTTCTTTATTCTAAAATACAACTTTCCTTTTTTACTAATCTTTATAAATAAAATGTATTGATCCATAAAATGGGTTTTCTATGATATTATGCAAATACATAATATATCAAACGAAACCATTTAATTGAATTGCATATCAGTAAATAACTGAGGAAATATTTGTTAATTAGAGAAGTTAATTTATATTATTACCTATACATATAGAAAAAACTATTTAATTTTTTTGTTAATTGTTTTTTTATACTATTGATCTAAGACAATATTTTTCACCTTTCACTCTGTATATATTATGAAAATGGTTCCTTCACGAGAAGAAACATAGTGTTCCTGATGTAAAGTTAAAATGTGTACCTAATCATTATAAATATAATTCACAAACGCGTGGAATTATGAATGTGACACAGGCAAGTAGCTACGGGAGGGGGGCAGGGTGTGCCTGGCTCACCCTAATATGCATCCGGCCTTGGGCCTGCCCACCCAAAGTATTCAGAGGAGCCCAATATTATATGATAGCTTTTACATTTTACCAAATTTTTAATATTGGCTAAATATGACACAAATGCCAAATATAACCAAATATATCGAGTTTTAATTAGAATCTAATATAAGTAATATAACTTGTAACTAAATTTGATCCGGGTCTCGTCTGTTTCTGGAATAAAATATGTACGCATTATGTTGTACTATTAAATTCTGTTGCTACCAATTATTTTATTAAACAATTTAATTAATGAAAAAAGTGATAGAGCAGCTGAGTGAAAAGGATTACTTAATTTGATAGATTTCAACTTCATATTTAATTATATATTAGGATTATTTAAAAATACAAGTGACTATTTACAGAATGTAAATGCACAAATGGCTGAAAGTTTAACGTTAATTTCATCAATAAAAACTGTTTTTCAAAGTATGAGAGATGATAACTCAGAAATTAATATCAGTTTCAATGAACTTTATCTCGAAGCTACTAATATTAGTAAAGAAAACAATATAACAATACCTATTCAAAAATCAAACAAGAACAATATACAGTATACAGAACAATGTAGAACAAAAATAATCCCAGAAAAGTTGGGCAGTTAATTTTAACAGAAGAAAGTTCTTTAGAAAAACAGAAATGCATTTCAAAGTCTGATTTAAAACTCAATATTTTTTTACCAACATTAGTTATTTAGATTACATAATTAATGAACTTGAAAAGAGATTCACAAATAATTCAAATATACTATCTTAAATACCTTATTTGCATTCACAAAATGAAATTTTTTTAAATTATGAACTGTTAAAACTTTTGGCCCTACACTACAATATAAATTTAGAAATGTTTCGGTTAGAAATTAAAATACTACTTACGGCTATTAAGAAATATGAAATCAAAAAAAAATATACAAATTAAAAGCTTAATAAACCGGGTTGATCTCCTTGAAAAGTATAAAATTGTATTTAATGAAATTTATAAATACTAACCATTTACCGATCACGATTCCAGTATCCAGAGCAGCATGTGAAAGGACTTTATCTTGTCTAAGAAGATTAAAAAACTATATGAGAAATTGTATGTTAAATAACCGACTGGTCAGTTTGTCAAGTAATTTTATTGAAAAAAATTGCCAATAGTTTGGACCTAGATGAATTTGTTAATAGATTTTCTATAAGACATAAAAATAGAAAAATACTTTTATATTAGTACTTAAATTATATTTATTGTATTTCATTTAAAAATTGTGTCTATATATATATATATATTAAATTTTTGGATTTTATTATCATAATAATTATTAAAAGCATTATTTGTATTTGATTTTTATTTATGTATTTAACTTAACGTATTTTTTTACACTCATAGTCATTAGTTATTGTCAAAATGATAAAATATGGTATTATTAGGTTATATACTTATATATTTGTAGAAATGATATGCTGATAACTACCTTTTTATAATATAAAAATGTCGGGAAGGAGGGGGCCTATCTAACATTGGCCCACCTATACTGAATATTTTCTGACTACGTGCCTGATGTAACAATATCTAACCTTTAGTCGATACTCGAGATAATATTCCATTTATTGCTTGTACCTAAATAGACAGATAACACTCTTTAATCACAATAATGTATACTGATTCAAAAATTCAGTAATTCGAACATATTCGTCGAAAAACGTCTTTGAATTAGGACCGTTAAAATATACAGGTTAAACAAAATCACAAAACCAAGTAAAACCAAAAACAATTTCAAAGTTTAAAAAAAAACCGTCACACCCTCACCATCACGAAACACTTTAACGATTACAACATTTCGTGCTGAGGTGTAATACGCAATGTTTTAACTATTTTCGCAACAAAATCGGTATAGGTACAATGCGATGGGTTACGAAACAATGCGCCGCCACGGCCTTAACCATCTCTGTACTGTGTGCGGTCACACCCTCGTTGACGGCCGTCAACGTGCTGGCCATCGAACCGTTGCCGGCTCGGAGCCATTGGACGTTTATGCGGGCGGTGCTCATGGCGATGGCCACCGGTGGCCGTGGCCATAACGTGACGGCGTACACACCATTCGCGTCGTCGTCAGTGGTCACTGCCGGCGTCTGTAACGGCGGCCCGAGCGGTTGCGGGTACGTGGAAATACCTTTGCGGCTTGACGTTCCGGACAAGGTCGCGCTGGATGTGCGGACAGCCGTCGCCGATTTCGCAGACCAGTGGCGGTTTGTGGGCATCGCCGTGAACAAGAGTCTGACGGCGTGTGGCCGGCTGGACCAGATGGCAGCCGCCGGCCACTTTTCTCGCGTCCAGTACGACGTGGTCGTCGTCGAGCTGGTGTCGTCCGAGTGCTCGTCCCGCTTGTCCGGCGTCCTGGGCGAAGTGCCCCTCGTGTACGTTTTCCCGTCACCTATAGCCTCGTGGGTGGAGGCAAAAGCGCTGGGAACCAGCCCTGGCCCGTCGTATGCCAGCCGGCTGTTCGCTCGGTACGCGACGCCCGACACGTTAGGCAGGCGGCTGGAGAACGCGTACGGCTGGACCGTGATGGCAGCGTTACAATGGTTTCACGAGCGAGGTGACGACCAGGCCGGTTACCGTAAGCCCTCCGTCACGTTCGTCAACACTGATCCAACTGTGGAAAAATCCGTGCCCGTCGTTCAGAACATGATAGGCGTCGGCGGTGTACACCTGCCGCCGCCCGAGCCAATACCGTCGGTAAGTAACTTTTAGACGTCGAGTCTTTTTACGCACAGAAACATCAGAAACGACCCTTTTTGTTTTTGATTTATGTTTGAGGTTACTAAGGTCTAGATAATAGTTTACATTTGAATTAAAAATACATTTTTTATATTTTTAATACTTTTTTAAACTGCCAACCAAATAAATGTGACGCAATTAGAATATTAACTAATTTTATTTAGATTTATTCACTTGTATTATCATATAACAACAGTATATAATATTAAAAACAGACTAATTAGGTATAGCTGAACTTTAGCAGACAGTAACCATAATAACTATACAATAGTGGAAATTAATAGATTATAGAAATGGGTAGGTACGGAGAATAGCCTGCAAAATGATGGTACAAGCTTCTATAGGTTGGTACAAAATATGTACAATGGTACATGCCAGTGGCGTCCGCAGGATTATTTAATGAGGGGGGCTTGAAAATTAGTTACAATTTAATTTTTATTTTGTCCAGTCTAATAATTGCAGATGTTTATTTGGGGTATTTTAAAATGTTTGTATTTTTTCAACTTTTCTGGTAGAAAAAATGCTCTGATCATAATCTTCGATGCCCAGTGTATGCTTTTGGAAGCAAATTGGATCTAGTAAGTACTTTTAGGAGGTCGAAATTGAAAATTCTCAGTGCTTTTAAAAATAATTGCAGAAAAAAATGAAAATGTATTTAAATTGTTTGGTATAACAAGCTTGGTTATACCGTCCTAACTTGGATTGTATTTGATTAACTAACATTTTTTTTTCTGTAAATGTCAATAAAAAATTATTTATCCGGTCAAAAGCTTAAAAATGTAATACGTAAGTTTTTTTATTATAGCTAAAAATATATTAACGATACATAGGCATCATGGTTATTTTTTATAAGCATTTAAAGTTAAAATTTCGTTAAAACCAAGGTTAATTTGTAGTTCAAAACTTATAAAATATAAAATATGTATATAGCTAAGGCTAGACAATTTAATACAAGGTCTTTCATACAAGTAGTTCATACTTTTACCTAAAAATTACAGATGATTTATGAAAATTGGTATGCAAATACAATGTTTTTTCAAAAATGAATTCATTCTGGTAAGACATAATATATGAAATTTACTATAGTTGACTGTTTAATCTTGATTAATATTTTTTTGAAAAAGTAATAATAATACGGGTAATGGGGTGGGGGGCTTCAGCCCGTTATCTCCCCCTGCGGACGCCACTGATACATGCCACTCAGTGCCGGTCAAATGATTTTGTCATAGGAGGGGTATGGCTGTTTTTTAACATTCATTATTTTATCATTAAAAATATAATTTATAGTTATGTCTAATATCAATGTATAAACTTATGGTAAAAACAAACTTTATTTATAACTTAGGTATACAGACGTTATGAATATAATATTATAGTATTAACAATATTTTTATTAAATTAGTAAATCTATTTTTTATTTTTATTTTTTTCTAATTCGTACAGTAGTTGGTTGGATGTTATATTTATAACCCCACCATGAACAGCCATAGTAAAAATAAAACCGCTAAGATCACAACTTGATTTTCTGTAACGATATAAGTGATCTTACTTATTTTTTCATCCACCGAGCGTTTAGAAGTAGAGCAACTTGCATCAAAATAGCTAGTAAATTTTAAAACGAGTCAAAATTCAAAATATTTTGAAAATTTTTTTGAAAAAGGTCCTTGTAGGATATTAGTATATATTACACTATTTTCTATTTTCTAAAACGTTATTCGTAGTTTATATTTGACCTACACTGGTATACTTAGGTTCATACCAAGAGCTCGTTTTAAAACCACTATTTATATACAATTTCTCAAGGCCTATTATGGTTATTCTGAAAATTATCATACCATTTGTGCCGATAGTTTACTATAATATTATCATTTATGAATATAAATTATCTATAAATTATGATCAATAGTTTTGATTTGTGATATCGTGCCTACTCACGCATATTGCGCATTATTAAATTCTGATCATAGTTTTTAATTAACTTGGTATACATAATATTATATAGGTACTATATTATAATGTTAAATAATATAGTAGGTATTTATAAAGTTCGAAACACTAAATGAAATGAAAATACAATTTTGTATTAAACATGAAGCTTTTTTTAGACAAATGAATAAATTATATTAATTTAATGAAAAAAATAATTTATAACTAGGTTATTATTATCTAACAACTAAATAAATTAAAATAATTAATGGCAAAAATCCAGTCTACTTATTGACCTTGTTATCAAGAAGCAAACAGAAGTGGCAGATTTAAAAGTAAACATTTTGTCGGCAAACTTAAAAGAAGATCTTAATTGACTCATATGTATGGAGAATAGGTAAACCAAAGTTTAGTCAGGTAGGCAAGATGTTTTAATTTTTAGATATTTTATTTCAATTAAAGTTGGAATTATATTTATAATTAAATAAAAATATATATATTATATATGTTAAAGAAATAATAATATTTTAGATAGTTAGATAGCAAGATAATAATATATTAAGAGAATTAAAATAATATATTATTGTATATATTTTAAATTACATGTACTTTTGTTATTATATTTAAAAAAACATTTAAACATTTCGTTTTTTAATAAGCTCATAACAGACATTTTTTTAAAATAATGTCACTTAAAAAGTTCTCTAAAAATTATTTTTAAAATTGAAAAAATTTGTTCTGTTATTAATTAGTAATTATTATATAAATTCTTATTATTATTAATTATTCGTATCATCTTATTATTCGTCTTCTCCTATCTTTTTTCTAGACTGACAATTATTTCCAAAAAATGTATTATACAAACTGTATTATAGGTAGCGAAGGGTAATATTCATGTGATCGGTAAAAACATAACAAATAATGAAAATAGAAGTACGACAAAGCAAAATAAATAATATTTTATTTTATTCTTTTAGAATGAGTTTTACTAAATGTCGGCAAACTTAAAAAATGATCTTAATTGACTTATACGTATGGGGAATAGGTAAACCAAAGTTTAGTCAGGTAGGCTAGATGTTTTAATTTTAGATTCTGAGTGGAACGATGAATGTATTGATTTTACAATGATGTGTATTTTTTTTATTTTTTTTATTTTTTTGTGTCTGTCATCACGTTTTAGGACAGTAAAAGTGCTTGGATTTTCTTCAACAGTAGCTTTTCTGATATGAAAGTGAATCTAGTTGGTAATTTGGGGGGGGGGGCAAAAGTAAAATTTTAATAGTAGTTTTAAAAAGCGCCGTGAAAAACAAAAGAGAAATTAAAGAGAAACGGGAATTTTTACACTAAAATATGTTTTCGAAAAAATCGATTTTGGTTTTTGTTGTAACTTTAAAACAAATAACCGTACATAAGTGAAATTTTGACTGAATGTTTATATTAGCATTTTCTATACACGATAACATTTTCAAATTATTTTGATTTATTTTAACTGTTTAGGGACATTTTCTTTGTTAGTTTTTTTTTTATGAATATCAATAAAAATTTATTTGTTGGTTAAAAAAGCTTGAAAAAGTAATACAAGGCTCCCTACTATATTGTTACAATGGCATTTGAAAAATATTAAAAATCCTTAGTCACAGTTTTTTTTTATAAACATTTAAAGTAATAATTAATAATAATTAGCAAATTATTTTGAGTTAAGAATTCGTAAAAGTTTTTCTTTTTAAATCTAAGATTGTAAAATGTGATAAAAGATTCCTTATAAGATTATCTACCTTTTCTCATATAGCGATTTCCTTCTTCTGTTGAAATTCAAAAACGAGTAACTGTAGATACATGAAAATTTCACTGAATATTTATATTAGCATTTCCTATATACCATAAAATTTTGAAAATATTTTGACTCTTTTTGAGCTGTTTACTGATATTTTCAGTTTCCAATTTTTTTAGTTTTTTATTCTATAAATATCAATTAAGTTTTATCTGTTGGGCCGAAAAGTTTAAAAATTTAATACAAGGCTCCTGATATATTGTTACAATAACAGTTGAAAAATATTAAAAATACATAGGCACATTTTTTTTTTATAAGCATTTAAAGATCGAATTTTGACAAAATTTATCAAATTTAAAATTGAATACCTAATTATTTTGTAGTTAAAAATGTATAAAATGTTCAAGTTTCATATTTAAGGATTGAAAATCCTCATCTTGTGTTTCATGTTTTTTTTTTTTTTATATGTATGTATATAGTGTTATATCTATTATCAATTCTGCTTATTGTGTAATATTATACAGATTGTAGATTTTCTAAATTAATAAAAAAAAAAAAAAAAGGATTGAAAATTTAAAACAAGATTCCACGTAAATAGTTAATTCTGTTACCAAAAAATCTAAAAAATACATAAGCACAGTTTTTTTTATAGTCATTTTAAGTTCAACTTTGGACGACAAAATTACATAAAAAAAAACCTAGAATAACTATTTTAGTTATTTTGTTGTGATTGTGTAATATTATTCGTGTGTACTTGAAACTTCTAAATTACACTATTATATATCTATATTCTATATGGAGCATGAACTATGATAGTATCAGGGTTTGTTGTTGACGTATAACGCATTATAAGTACCTAATGGATATTTTGATATGATTAATTTGGAATTTATTATAGGTACCTATTTTAGGTAAATTATTTTTAATACGATAGATAAGTATATAATGTCTTATAATAAGTCTTAAAATTGCAAAAATGCAAAATAAAAGTTACATATTTTAATTAATTTTGTGCTTAAACAGCAATGTTTTCGGCCCTCAGAAAAAAATGAAGTTTTCATTAAATTCCGTTCCCTGCTCGTGATTTAAATATTAATTTATTATTTGGATTATAATAATATAGCATTAATAAACACTAAGTATCATTAAATAGTTTATATTTAAATGGCACAATAATATTATATTATTATTTTGTTTATAATTTCATAGTATAATAAATTAATATATTGAAATATTATAATTTATAGGTTAGGTTATTTGATATTAATATATTATACTAATATTTTTTCATAATAATATTTTTTTAATGACTAACTGGCATCTATAAAACATAATTATTAAGAAAATTATATTTTGGGACAAAGTAAAGTAGTGGTTAATGGTTAAATAATTGATTTATATACATGTTTTTACAAGTCTTTTGTCACGGACTAACCAAACTTATAACGTCTTATCTCTTTACGGAAAAAAAATTTTTTTAAGTGGTGGGGGACTCACCTCTATCGGTTAATATAAATTATGTCGAAGACTTTAGGCTTATAGGTTTTTAACAACCAAGGTCGTTGGCCTAGCGTAGGTCAACATATAAATATCGGTGCATTACCGAAATTACCTGTAATGTTGTTTCCATTGAGTTTATACGAAAGGAGCTACACTTGTTGTGGATAGTCGGAGACTTTGTACGGTGACATTAGTCGGTCAATCGTGACTTCTATTAGAGGGACAGGTGTGTACTTGCACTTCACATCTAACAATGCAACTACCATTTCGTTTCGATTCCAACGGATGTTACAGAAGCCTGGCTGGCTGTCTGCTAGAGGCCATTGTATGCCGCCCACGTGCTGGCCATTGAGACGATGGCAGTTAAAAACCAAAAGCTCATGAGGGGCGTGCTGCTCGCCCTGGTGGACCGCGGCCACCAGGTGACAGTTTACAAGCCATTTCCAGACTCCGGGACGCCAGCCACTGACGGCTACACGGAGATGGACACGAACGATGAATACAGGAAAAGGACAAGGGAGGCCGTGGACCATGGATTTCACAGAGATCTTGATGCATTTGTCTCGATCTTTGGTCAGTGTGCCGATGTTGGTCGACGAAAGCCGTTCTGTGTGTGACATCATGGACCGGCTCCTTTCGCGGGACGTCGGCGCTTATGACCTGTTCGTCAGGGAATCGATAAGTATAGCGAGTACGTCACGTACGCGGCTCGTCAGCTCCGCGTGCCACTGGTTTATACCGTGCCCGCACCCTCGAAGCAGCCCTCGATCGAGGCTGCAGCGTTTGGTCACTACGGTAACCCGGCCGCCGTGTCACACCTGTTCACCACGTACGCCTTGCCCGACAAGTTCTACCGGCGGCTGAATAGCGTGGCCACGTACCTGTACACCACTTACTCACACTACTGGTATACGACCTCGTAACGCCCTTCAAACCAGCCCCGGTATTCGTCAATTCGCATCACTCTGTGGAGCCTTCCAGGCCATGCCGGTAACCGCGTGGACGTCGCTGGTATACATTTGACTGCACCCCAACCATTGTCGGCCGTAAGCACTTATTCGGGCACTGGGGAAGTTTTTCAAGAACATGTGCTTCAACATTTATAAATTTAACCGATTTTCAATGTGATAGAACGTAGAAGTAGAAAAGTAACTTTTTGTACTTAGTGAAACTTCATTCAATATATCACACTATGGAAAATGGCGATTTTAGGGATTCCCCACAATATGTTCTGGGCTAAGCAATGTGATACCTATCTATCATATTAATTGGATCACTTAAATGGATGATAATTAATAATATAACTCGCCTCCACTTCACACCGATTATACCTATAATCAGCTGGGGGAGAGAATAAAATATTTAAAAATATTAACTCTCCAAATAATGAAAAGTTAAAAATATTTACTTGTCGCTTGATAGTAAAATATCATATGAAATAATTACTACTGGTGATTATTACTCACGTTGTTTAAATCAATGAGAGTCCTTTTTACCGACCACAATGGCTTATCATTCATTTTGTACGGTTTTCAGATACCGCGTGGACACCATCATGTTTACATTTCTGAGTTCTTAACATCTGTTACGAGTTAGGTCCTAGTCGTCAACGATAGTGTGCATATTGTGAGTGTAAATGTTGCCTCAACCAACAACGACATTCTAAAATAGCGCCATATATATATATTGAATAAATCTACTTTGTTTATAATCTACTGAGATTTAAGAGTACTTTTGTTGTATAGGGTAATTACTAATTTCTCAAGATACTTTTTGAAATTATCAACTATAAATAATTTTGGTATAGAAAAATAAATAATTTCAATGATGAATTAATTATATAACGATATTTATGAGGTCCTGTTCACTATTTTTAGTTTCTGAGCTGGATGATGTTTTTTTATGGTGTTAATATTTAAATAATATTATATGCATTTCATGTTTGCTATACATTACATGCTGTACTTTACGTCTTGACAGATTAATTTTTAACCACTCTGATATAGCCAGTATAGGAGTCAAGTGTACCTCGTCATTGAATAGGTCGCATTAGTAGGACCATTACGGATGTTTTTAAGTTTGATAAATTTTTTTCCGAGAGCTACCCTTAACTATACCTATAAGGGTTGAAAAATAAGTTAAAACACCATACAAGTGCTAAGTAATCTATTGATATACCTGATATAAGTATATAACTAGTATTTATAATCAATGGTATTATATTTATTATTTGTGTAGAATAGTTTTGTCACAAAACTTTTGTGTAATGGTGTAGTCTCTTTTGGTTTCTGTACTCTCTACTCTACTCGTGGGTAGTACCTAGTAACAGTATTATTCATTGTTCAATTAAGGTAGCTTGTTCTTGTGGAATGACTGTGTATGGATTTTAATTCTAAAAATAAAAGAAACAAATATAATATCGAGTTTATACAAAAACAAATGTGCACCGTGCTCGCGATGAAACATAAGTAATGAAAATGTGTGCCTTGTTGTTTCTAGTGAATATTACAACAGAAATGCATTGCAGCATAGAAGATGTAGTGCAGGGGAAGAAAAAGTTTTTGTTGAGGGTAGGTGAAAAAATAATAGCATATATAATAGGTGTCCATGAACAAGGAAAAAATTAATAATTTCAGAAACATTATAAATAAAAATGCCATAATTTTATTTGTTTTTAAACTAACCACCATAATGTATAGGTAGGTAAATATTAAATTAAAAAAAAAGTCGATCATAGTACAATATTCAAGAAACAACAAAATCATAAAACTTTTTTTTTAAAGTAATTTTTAACTTAAGATGATATTACCCATGAATTTGTTGTCTCCGTCTTACACACGCATATGACATGGCAAATTGTCGTTCACTATTTTAATTTGTGTCCTGTTAGCTTTGATATTAGAGTTAATTGACATAGGTATAATAAGACTTTTAGGTCTTTGCTTACGAGTCGGCTTTTATTCAATATTTTAATTTTCAAACGAGATACGAGCATTTTTTTATTTGTGATATTTCACATAGGTACCCATTTACTTCTTTTATAGTTGTTGTATATTAAAATTTGGACGAAATTACATATTAAACCAAGAATAACAGTTTTAGTTATTTTGTTGTGATTTAAAAAATATTAAAATATGACTTTTAAAATTAAATTGTTTAGACAAAAATGAGTTTAACCTACTGTAGTACATTAGTACTAATGCCTAATAGTAAAATAAATTACTTTAATCACAATAATATCATAAAATATACTTACTTGGTAATATTATAGGCTGATAGACCTATTCGTCTTATTCGTTCAAAATCGTTTTTCGTATAGGTACAATGATTTTATATCATTAAATTCCAATTTAACACATCCTCCATTTCAACTTACCAACTTATCAGTTTTTAAATTAACTTAACTTAACGAGTTAAAAAAATAGTTAACTTGCTCAGCCTTGCCAATGATGCATATTTAGGTTGTACAATTATTGTTGTATAATTAAATTTATTGGTATATTATTATGAACATCATTGGACTTTGATGATAAATAGTAAAAATAACTGTACGACGACGTTTATTTTGATGTATTAACATAATAATCCAATTTTTTAGTTGATAGACGTTTATATATAATTTGTATTTCATCTATAATACATATCAGTGGCGTATATAGTTGGTGGGCATAGTGGGCTGCAGCACCCCCCCTCCCTCCTAAGTTTTTACTCTTTTGAGTGACATCATACATTTTTTTATTTTCTTAAGCAGAATATTATTCGGAAACATTTTGCCGAGTACCTCTGTACCACGCTCCACACCACTCATCGAACATTAGGAGGGTACCTACTTACTTTTTTTTATTAAAAATATATTTCAATCCGTTTACATGAATAAAATCAATAAGTAACTAGGATGATAGAGAGAAAAATATATAACGGTGATGGGCTACTGCGGCTGCTCGCGGGCCACATCCGGTCCACGTACAATTTTTAACTGGCCCGTGCTACATTTCAAATTACTTTATAAAAATATACAATCGATATAATTTTAAATATATTATTAAAATGTATATTATAATGTCTACCGTAAAACGTATAGATATCAATTCTTATCTAGTATTCAACTAATAAATGTCTTAATATTATATTATTTATAGAGGCATTGTCAACATTTTTTTTTTACTTTCTATGTTCTCTGGTCCGCTAGATTTTCGCATTTTCAAAATTGGCCTTCTAGTTACTAGAGTCTAGTAGCATAAATTTTCCCATCCCTGATATATAACATGAAACATATGAAGAGAAGACCATTCAGAACAAAAATCTTTAGAAAATTAATACTTACTAGTAACTTAGAATTCATATAGGTACCTACCAACTATTCATCCAAAATTCAATTCTTATTCATCTTATATACTCTACAAAATATTTGGCTTTGGAATAGGGAATTAAGGATGCATGTATTGTCATTAAAATAGTAAAACATTTATAAAATGATAACAATAAAAAATATATTGTTTTTAAAAATATTTGATTTTAATTACTTAAAATTATGTAAAATAATACATATTTAAAAAAATGATTAGCTATTAATGAGTATGTTACGTCGAAAAATCATCCGGTATATACATTCGATATTTTAAATTTTTTTATAAAACATAATTATTACGATTTGAAAACATTGGAACATATAAATTGAATAAAAATAAGTATGTTAGTCTTGGGATTAGTTGGCAGTATTGTAACTCAAAATGTTACCCTTTGGCAGTGATGTGGCCTTGAGCGGGTTTTGGGTGCTTAACCCACCCCTTCCAACCCCAGATGAATTTTTTTCCCCTTATAAATGTAAAAATCTTAGTTTAATTTATACTTAAATCCCCCAACCATTTTCATAATTTTAGCTACACCACAGCCCTTTTTCACTCCACTGGTATAAACATAAACTGCACAATCATTTTAAAATGTATAATATTGGTTATAAGTATCTTTAGAATAATCACCTTATTGTATTTTACGATTTTCTAGGTCAACCTGATAATACACATAATAATAATTAATAGGTTTTATAAATGTTTATTACCTACAATTTTTGTCCAGTACCTGCCTAGGTACCTACCTAATTTTAACAAATTTAAATTATATAACCTATGTAGACTGTATGTCTGTATATAGTGGTAAAGGGCCTAGTTATCATATAATACGATATAACTAAATACCTAATACTCTTTAGGCTTTAGGTATAGGGAAAATAAATTAAATTAACATAACATAATATATTATATTAGCATACATTCATTATACGAAGGTCTTTTACATAATATTAATTATTATTAAACTTAATTCACCAATTATAATCGTATAACCCGAATACCTACCCGATACTCTGTATAGTTTCTTATAAACGTGCTTAAATTAAATATTTCTGTTTAAAATGTATTTTAGTCTTTAGATTGTCTTACAATTATAGTGACAAATACAATAATGTTTACTACATATAAAAATATAAAAATTATTACTATACCAACTATTGTAATATATAACTTAGTTATGACATTATTTTTTACTAGCTATAGTAGCTATAATTATAAGTAGGTATGTGAAAAACTGATATAATACGTACGACGTACCTATATGGCTTTATAAAACACAAGGTGGATATTATAATGTTACCTATGGATATTCCTACATTGTACATTTTAACGAAATTAATTAATCCTAAAGAAAATATATTTAATAATACAAATATTACAAATCAATAAAAAATATCCACTGTAATATATTTTTAATCTAATTTAAATCAGTTTTCAGAAATATTATCGCATTATTAGATCAGTTGGTAGGATGGAAAAAAAAACGGGAGCGGTAAGTTGTAGTGAAGGTCCGCTATTGATTATAATTTTAAATTTATAACTTATAAAAATCTTGCGTTTATTGATAATATATCACTAAATTATGTATATTATGTATTTATAATTATTATAATTAATTAAATATATAAGTAATAACTATTAAGTATATATTATATTATTATTTATATAGTATGTAGGTATATATATTCAATAAGTATTGAATTGTACGTAATATAGTTTTGTCACGCCTGTACCGAAAATTTGGTTTTCGACCGCGGTTGAAGACTTAGAGGTTGCGTTTAGGTTGCTTCATTTTTCTGTCCAGTTGGCAGTAAAGTGGGAATCCTCATAGTGCCGGGCGAAAAAGTGGAAATCCTCAAAAATGCTGGGTGCGTATTACACACGTATTCCATGCACAACCAGACATTGAAATCTATACCACGGTCCTTACAAAACATAAACTTTTGGTTACATCTTATATACATATTATAATCTTCTTGCATGAAGCGTAAACATTTTTATTTCATGAAATTGTTTTCGTAGAATAATTTGATTGTTGGGTATTATATCCCTATAAAGTGCTTAACTTACCTTTGGCGTGATTACATTTTTTTGTGCGTCGCGTTTGGTATAGACTAGGTAATAGAAAACGGGTATAACGCAAGGGTTTTAAACAGCGTAATAAGATCTGCATATTATGCATTTATAATTATTGTAATTTATAAATTATAACAATTTGGTGACTTAAACATCAATTTTAATGATTAGAAATCGGAAACTTTTAAAACTTTCCTTATGGACTCATTCAATTTACATAATATGATAAACAATCCAACAGAATCTACAACGAAAGATGACACCACCATCGATCCAGTATTTTCAAGATATTTGGAAAAAACTACATCACAAACATACATATCATATTTCAGTTATCACAAGCCTGCAATTTCGATTATTGAACATGATTAATATAATAGTAATTAAATAGTAATAATAATAATAATTTTAATTTTAATTTATTTTTCACATTTACTTTTACTTTGAATGGTTTCACTAAAATGTATTTGTAATCTATAATATTTGTTGGAAAAGAAACTTCATTTCTACCGGGTGTCCCATGACGGCACGACAGCACTGTCTTTTTTTTTAATCTAATTTATGAACATTACCATAATGCAATTCTATTTTCTTTTAACTTTATGTACTAAACATTGTTGGTGATAATTGAACACACTTGTATATTGCAATGTTGTCAAAATTATAATCTGATTGGCAAATTTTAAGGTTGGAAATGGTATAATTATATAATCTACTAATTAAGATAGAATGATTAATGATTATATAAGGTCAAAATATGATACGATAAAATGGCAAAGAACATAAAAATAACAAATCGAGGTGAGCTGGTAAGCACATTATTGGCCAGAAAACCATTATTAAGAAAAAATAATCTACCTAGTGGGGGTGGGTAGAGGGGAGAAGTGTACGCCAAACTATTTACGTTCAAACAATAAATATCCACACGGTGGCTATTGTCGGCTTTAGTAGACTACCGTCGTCGAACTCGCGTCAGTGAAAATCGCTCAGAACGTCAAAAACATACTCAGTCACCTTTACAGCATATTAATATTGTCTATAATTTACTAAACACTTGTATCATATAATGGTATTATACAGCAGCGGACGGTTTACATATCATTGAAAAGTGCGGTACAATAATATTTATATTAAAGTCAAACATTAAGCATCAGAATAGCGATTATGACTAGACAACCATGGTTCGAACTCGCGGCCGTCTGCTTGCTGGTGGCCGCCTCAGGTTCGCTGCAGCCTGCAAACGCCGCCCGCGTGCTAGCCGTAGAAACGGTGGCTGCCAAGAGCCACTGGAACTTCATGAGGGGCGTACTGCACGCCCTAGCGGCCCGCGGTCACCTGGTGAAGGTTTACACGCCATTCCCGGATCCTGGGACGCCGGCCACCGTCGGCTATACGGAAGTAGATATGTCCGCCGAATTCCAAGGCGACGACACGGACCCCACCACGACGGCCGTCAACATGGACGCCTCCGTAGTGTTGCCGCTATTCGCCCGGCCGTCGTTTATAGTGCCGTTCATAGCCAATGCCAGCCGCTCCGTGTGCGACATCATGAACCGGTTGTTACAACGGGACGTCGGCGTTTACGACCTGTTCGTTACGGAACCATTTAGCAGCGAGTGTGTGTCGCACGCGGCTCGCCGTCTCGGCGTTCCGCTCGTTTACGTCGTGCCCGCGCCGCTTCTGCCCTGGATTGAGACTGCCGCGTTTGGTCACTACGGAAACCCGGCAGTCGTGCCGCATTTGTTCGCCTCGTACGCCGTGCCCAACACTTTCTACCAACGGGTCAATAACGTGGCCATGTATCTGTACACCATCTACGTGAACTACCGGTACACGTTGGCCGCGGCAGCCGCGGAACAACGGCCCTACGACATTGCACCACCCGTTAAACCGGCACTGGTGTTCGTCAACACGCACTACGTTACCGAACCACCGAGACCAGTGCCGGCGAACCGCGTGGACGTCGGTGGTATTCATTTGGTCGCTCCCCAACCGCTACCGGCCGTAAGTATGAACACGAAGCGACTTGTAATGGACTGTGGGCACCATATATTTTTTATTTTCTGTGCGAAATATAAATATTATACATTTTATGGTCGAAATATTATTGCGTTTATTTCCCATTTTTTTAAAATGATTAAACTAGGTTTAAAAACATAAAAATATATTGTGGTGTTCGAATTTCAAGCACTGCGACGGTTCGCCAAATTGGATATGTTTCGCAAATATAGGTAACGTTTTATGATTCACATTTATAATTTTTATTTACTGTTCTAAGAAATATTTATCGATTTTATTTTCATTGTGCCTTGTGGTATTGTTATAATATGATGGGTAGAGGGATTTATATTTTATAGGTAATAATAATAATTAGATGATTATGTGCTTTGTACAAATTGTCAGCCATGGTCACTTTCAAATACTATAGGTAGGTACTATAGGTGGGGGCATAGGCGTGCGCAGACTCTAAAAGTAGGTAGTGCCCATATATTTATCTCCCACCGTGGGAGTTATAAACATTATTCATAGTATATATAAATAACTTTTTTTGTTCACATGTAATAAACAATTTTTATTAGTCAATTTGTTCTATTCATATACAATTATAACGTCAATAATTAGTACATTTATAATCTAATATATACATAATTAAAACAACAAGTCACACAGTAATCAATTGATCAATACATACATTTAAATTTAGGTTATGTAAAAAGTATATAAGTAAGTATAAAGCTTTGTGTGTAGAAAGTAAAATTAAGGGAGGCAATTGATTGAGAGTTTCCCGTATGCGTTTCCGATATTACGTTTATTTAATGTTCTGAGTGCGTCCCGAATAAGGTACCACCCGAATGCATCCCAAAAAGTAGATCATATTTCTGGCGTAGCCCGAATGAGCGTTCCTGCAGTTTATTAAGTTACCCAGGGTGAACTACGAGTTGGTTACCCATTATTATTTTGATTCTCACATTTAAAGTTTGGGTAAATGACAAGTGTACCAATTTTTATAATATTTTTTTTTTAGTATCTGTATATAACTCAATTTTACACTTTTTGAATATTAAAAACACGAGTAATTACTTGTCCTTTATGGCAATACTTTACTTATCAGTTCACTACTCACACTTATTGATTCTAACTTTTAAAAGTTTTGGTTACAGACCGAAGTACACACTTGGGCTGTTCAATATTATTTGTCAATAAGACTGTGGACGCACTTGGGCTATGAAAAGATAAAATTGAAAACTATTTAAAGCTGAAAGTACTCTGGACATCCCTCAATTGGTTGGGCTAAATGCAGGGCCGTATTTAAGTTGGGTGATGAATTACCTGCCACCTACCCTTTGGAAATTGGGCCTTGGTTTTTTTTATGGATTATAATAAATATAGGTAGGTAGTTATTTATAAATTATAGATACATATTACAGAACTGTAATAATACAATTTTAAAATTAGCACCTACTAAAAATAGAAAACGAATAGAACTGTTTAAAAGTATACACCCGAACACGTCCCGTATCAAGCATTGTACAAAAAACTGTTATCACAATCTTCCCTCTCATATAAACTTCTGAGGTACTTCAGAGATCAGTTACTCCACTGCATGAACATAACATTCCATTTTAAAATGGGACATGTATAGGTAGTAAACTTTAGTTGTTATAGATTCTTAAGTGGAAATGTAGAAATGGTCTCGAGGGTAGTTAAGACAAACTTTTGAACACTTTGTTGGTGCACATAACGAACCCATAGGTTAAATGCCCAAATATTTTGAATCAGCTTAATATTGGTAGTTTTTCATCGAATAAAAAAAATATTGCAGCACCAGCTTTTTATTTAATAAAAGTACCCTATGCAGTGGAGTAATTTGGTTATGTTTGTGGAGAGGGGGATGACATTATTTTCAACATTTTACTTATTATCTATTCCCCATAATAATTTTTGTATGTACTTATCATAATATTACCTTTTAACAACATTGTGATAAGTAGGTATAGTACAAGTACTAATGTATTAATGTATGTACAGTGTACATATACTAAATAAAAACAAATAATTACATTTTGGTTTTAAAATGTTGTTTGTTTTTTTTTTGTACATAAGTTTGTGTATACAATTTATAGAAGAAAATATTCTTTAATGGTTTTTCAGCTTAAGGTGGTGGTTTTTGATGGAAAATTTTAATTATATTGGTACTTATTAACAAAAAAATATATTTATGATTCATAGATTTTCTTTGTAAATAAAAAATATCGAGTAGCGTGCTATGAATTTTTTTTTTGTATTATTTCTATAAAATATACTAAATTAGTGTTCAATAAGAACATAAATGTTGTGTGTCGGTTTAAAAAAAAAATGGTGTGTGTCAGATTTTGTATCTGTCACTCAATGTCGATGTGTCAACATGGCTAGTCTTATTTATTGTGTGTTGACGCTCCCACCGATATGCCCCTGCCTTTACCCTTTCTAAGCTATTTTTCGCCATGTTCTAGGAAGAAATAAAATGCAGAAAGTATAGTTATAATTGCTGCGCCGACGGACTCCCCACTGGGTGGACGGTTAGTCCAACTCATCTGCTTTTTATTATATTTCAATTTTAAAGTAAATTATGAGTATTTAAAAATTGTAAATTGTTTATATATCTTTTAATACTCAAATTTTAAAATTAAAACTTAAATTTAAAATAAAATATAACAAAAAGCCGATGATATGCCATATAGATAATATTCTTACCTTTAAATTTTATAAGAGGTCAATTCACTCTAATTTTAAAATTAACGGAGCTAAATGTGATCTGCTGAGCGTAAACTTTGCTATGTCGTACGCTTGTAAGACGGAGACAATATGCGGGTGGGACGTCCTTTCAATAAAATGTAGGTTGACTTATGGGTAGTGTTTGAATATTTCATGAAATATTTCAAAATGTGTGAAATATTTCAGTATTTTATTTTTAAATAAGTTTTATATTTACATTTAATTGTCATAAATTACCTTCATAACTGTATGGTACCTGTATGTATACCTAACCTTTCGTATTATACATTTAAAATGGTACCTATTCAAAGTTTTTAAATATTTTAATGTTTAAACGATACAAGTAGGTATACAATATTATACATGTATATTGTATACCTACTGAATTCTGACATTAGAATTTAGAACACATGAACATTAGAACATTGTGTTAAAAAAAATAAATAAATTGTGTTTTTATTTGTGTTAAAAAAAATTTCAATGTTTCACGTTTTTCAAAATGAAAGATTTCATACTTCAAACACTACTTATGGGTGAAGTGAATAACAAGTATTATAATTTATGAAATGTATATAATAATAACATTTAAGCGTTTTATGATAAATAACAATGATTAATAATAGTAAGAAAATATCATGTGATAATTTATATAATGCAAATTAATACAGATAATAATAATAATAACAATTTGATATAATACACGAGTGTACATAGGTATAATATACGTTGCCATGGATATTCTACTTGGGCTACTGAGTTGAACGAATCGCGGAAAAAAATGTCAATTTTCATCTAAAAATCACAATAATGGTTTTTAAGTTTATTGATAAAATAATGGCACAATATTACTATAATTTTACTATAAACAGTTTGGTAAAATATAAATATAAAAATTAAAATAAAAATTATTAATTATTAATTACAAATATCAAATAGTATATAATACCTATGTTATAGCTCCGGGTACAGCTAGCTGTTATATAAAAAAAAATTTAAAAATCACAAATATCGTATAGTATATGCCTTTAAAATATTTGGAATATCTCTTTCCCCACTTGAATATTCTTTACATATATTTTTTAATTTATTTTGTAACTCTGCATAAATCTTTGATTTTTAGATTCTGAGCGGAGCGATGAATGTATTGGTTTTACAATGATGTGTGTTTTTATATTTTTATATTTTTATATTTTTTTTTGTGTCTGTCATCACGTTTTGGGACAGTAAAAGTGCTTCGATTTTCTTCAATAGTACCTTTTCTGATAGGAAAGTGAATCTAGTTGGTACTTTGGGGGGTCAAAAGTAAACATTTTCCAGTAGTTTTCACAAGCGCCGGGAAAAACAACATAAAAATTAAGGAAAAACGGAATTTTTACGCAAAATCATGCATTTTTCCAAAAAATCGAATTTGGTTTTTGGTGTAACTTTAAAACAAATGACCGTAGATACATGAAATTTTCACTGGTTGTTTATATTTGCATTTTCTATACACGATAACATTTTCAAAATATTTAGATTTATTTTGAACTGTTTAGGGACATTTTCATTTTTCATTTTCTTTTAGTTTTTTTTCTAGAAATATCAATAAAATTTTATTTGTTGGTTGCGAAAGCTTGAAAATTTAATAGAAGGCTCCTAATATGTTGTTTCAAAGGCAGATAAAAAATATTAAAAATCCTTAGTCACAATTTTTTTTTATAAGCATTTAAAGTTCAAAAATTTACAAAATATGGAAAAATCACGAAAATTAGCAAATTATTTTGAGTTAAGAATTCGTAAAAATTTTTCTTTTTAAATCTAAGATTTGAAAATGAAACACAAGATTCCTTATAAGATTATCTACCTTTATCAATAAAAAAATCTCTACCGGACAGTCAAGTTAAATTTTTATGAGCGTTTGAAATTCAAATTTTTACAACATTGGATATTCACTCGATTACTCATGTAGCGATTTCCTTATTTTGTTGCAATTCAAAAACGAACAACTGTAGATACATGAAAATTTCACTCAATGTTTAAATTAGCATTTTCTATACACCATACAATTTTGAAAATATTTTGACTCTTTTTGAGCTGTTTATGGACATTTACAGCTTTCAATTTTTTTTAGTTTTTTTTTCTATAAATATCAATAAAGTTTTATCTGTTGGGCCAAAAGTGTAAAAATTTAATACAAGGCTCCTGATATATTGTTACAATAGCAGTTGAAAAATATTAAAAATACATAGGCACAGTTTTTTTTTATAAGCATTTAAAGATCAAATTTTGACAAAATTTATCAAAATCTCGAAAATTATCAATCATTGTAATTAATAAATTATAAAATGTTCAGTTTTTATAGCTAAGGATTGCAAATTCAACACAAAGGTTCTCGTAAATAGTTCATACTGTAACCAAAAATTCTAAAAAATATATGAACACACTTATTTTTTACAGACATTTTAAATTCAAATTTGGACGAAATTACATATTAAAAAACCTAGAATAACTATTTTAGTTATTTTGTTGTGATTGAATAATATTATTCGTGGGTACTTGAAACTTCTAAAGTGTACTATTATATATCTATGATAGTATCACGGTTTTTGTTGATGTAAACGTGTTATAAGTATCTAATGGATATTGTGATATGATTAATTTGGAATTTATTATAGGTACCTATTATAGGTCATTTTTTTGTTTAATACCATAGATATGTATATAATATGTCTTATACATAGACTGACATACCGTCACCGCTCAGAATCGTTTATCTTATACAATGATATTATATCATTGAATTCAAATTTAATACCATCCATTATACAGTGACCCACTTGTAACCTACTATACAGCAGAGCGACACCCACTTGCCCACCTTTTTTTTTTTTTGTACCATTCATTAGACTTGGATAAATTTTGAAGTCCTTCGTCGGTTGCAAAAATAATTAACCTATCTTCATCACTATCGTCAACCAAAAGTAATCTTTTATTATCCGGATTTCCAGTTGTACACCACTCTCCCTCTATATATTAGTTCCACTAGCTGGATGTTTTGTTTTCCTTTGATTACGTATTGTTCTTTTCATTATAGGTTCAGGTGGAACTCTAGCTTGTGATTGTGGGTCTAAAGTCTTCACATTTTCGGCATATATATTTCCGCTGGATTCGTTTTAGTTTGTTTTGCAGCCTCTTTCATTTTATATGTACATTTTATTGCATTCACCTACCCACAAATCCAATTTAAATTGTATTACCAACTATTATATTTCCGAACGGTATCGCGTAAATTTTTCCACGAAAATATTTCGCTCGACCGTTTCTTGCGTGACAATTATTCGCAGGAAAATTATTCGAATACGACAATTGTTCTGTTCGAGCAAAAATTGAACGTAAAAAAAAATAATATTTTGTAATCTATATTCTATAACGTATCACATTAGGTATCTTTAACACACACACACAACACAACAGAGTGAAGTGTGGCTTATTGCAAACACGTTTTAAAATCATATCGATAACTTATAGTTATCGAACATTAGGTATATGCAGGATTATCTAATGGGTACAAAAAAAACGTAGGTATGCACAAACAATTTTCGTATTCGAATAATTAAAAAAGTTTACCTCGTGTTTATCAGCTATATGACTATGGACTTTTCCAATTTGAGGATGTCCAATCTGTAAGTCCGTGTACATTGTTCCGCGACATTTCAATGAACGTTCTTTTGTACATCTCCACGTTAATCGTTTACGTCCTTGATGTTTCATTATATATGTATATCCTCTCCAACAAATTTTGTTCCCATCTTTGTTGGACTTAATAACTTTCATGTTTTACAACAAATTACGGTTATATATCACGTATTCACGTCGAAATTCAACTGACACAAAATGTATGGATGTTTCAGTTTATATCGATAATCCTACCACCGTTATCCAAAGTAATCAATTTTAAACCTATATTATACCCAATACTCAATAGGATTTTACGTATATTTTTGTTTATATATATTTCCTATCTACGACAGTTATTTGGTATCGATAAGACGCTCGGCCTGTAATTGTTGTTACGTAGTATAATAATAATAATATAATAATATAAATACTATATTATACTGTATTACTTATTATAACTTATAACTTTGTCGTTTTTTTCCGTGTCGTTTTTTAGTTTTTACCGATTACCGAGTTGAACGATTGAGCAACTTCCGTTACACTATTTCGTGACATCGAATTTACCAATTCACTCTAGACCAATTTTTTTACACACCTTTTTTTTTTTTTTGGTTGGGGGCGTATAGATGTTAAAACATCAAAAGTTACGCATAGGTACTTGACACCGAATCTCCCCCAGCCCACAAAATTACGTCACTGACCTTATGTAACAGTGAATACAATTTTTGTGACATAAAATATTTATGTAGGTATTTATAACTCAGTTTATAAGAGTCTTGTGCTATTTATTATGAATATTTACAGGATATTTTACAATTTATTGAGGAATCACCAAATGGAGTTATCTTCTTTACATTCGGTACTGTAGTCGCATTGTCAACATTACCGGACCATATTCAAATTGCTTTCAAAAACGCATTAGCTGAAGTTCCACAAAGAGTGTTGTTGAAATATGAAGGAGAAATGACGGATAAACCAAAAAACGTGATGACAAGCAAATGGTTTCCCCAACGAGATATACTGAGTACGATGTCATAAATAAAAAATGATATCTTAAAATTAAACAGTAACACTCCATATTATTGTACAGAGCATCCAAATGTAAAGTTATTCATCGGTCATGGAGGTATCTCAGGAGTCTACGAGGCTGTGGACGCTGGTGTCCCAATCCTAGGATTTCCTTTGTTCTATGATCAACCAAGAAACATGGCAAATTTGGTTGACGCAGGTATGGCGTTGTCAATGGACTTGTTTTCAGTAACAAAAGATACAATTGTAAAGGCTATAAATGAAATTGTCAACAATGAAACGTAAGTGAACATAAAAAAACGAAATATTTAGTTTTAATTGTAAAATCTTATGATATTATATTAATTATTTTCAGGTACTCAAAAAATGCTAAAAAAACATCGGAACTGTTTAAAGATCGACCAATGACACCTGCCGAATCGGTTGTTTACTGGACGGAATACGTTATTCGTCACAAAGGTGCACCGCACTTGAGATCTCACGCACTTAATTTGACATGGTATCAATATTTTTTGCTGGATATTATAGCAGTTGTATTATTAGTTATTGTATCAGTTTGCTACATCGCATTCAAAACATTAAAGTTGATAAAAAGACTTATTTTTAAATTATCTTCAAAATCGAAATCAAAACCGGATTAATATTGTATTGAATTCTGTATTAGGTAGTTTGTGTTTTAGAATGTGACATATTATATAAATAAGTTCTTACACATCAAATTTTTAAGTATTTTTCCTCGTAAAATTTAATGTTTTCAAATAGTTTCTCTAGAAAGTTATTACATTGCCTAATAATCAATTGTATAGGTAGGCATCTAAAAGAAAAAAAAATGATTATTGTTTGTTTATTTATAAAAACAAATAATGTTATATGATTGTGACGATTGTGTAATAGTACAGTGAAGGATTTACTATTAGTTAATTATTAGATAAATACAATAGAAAAATAATTTTTAAATTTAATTTCTTTAAAAAAAAATCACTTCAAATATAGGTAAGTTGGATGAATATTAATACTTATAAAGGGAAGGTTCACACTTACACTGTGTCGTGTCGTATGAAAAATGTTCCCCGATTGGCTGAACCTCTTGGATTCCATTAAAGTATACCATATGGTATTATGGTATATTGTTATTTTATCACACGATACCACTAGTTGAATATATTGACCTTTTGGCCCGTGTGGTTACAAATGTGTGCAGAAAAATGTTAGCTAAAAAAAAGTTATGAAATTTTATTATCGGGTACAATATTCAAATCATTGGTATTGCATTTTGGTATAAAGATGAAAAATGCACCGCATGAAGACACACGATATTTATTATTAAAAGTGATTAAAAACGCAACACGACACGACACGATGTGAACTCCGCTTAAGTTATGACTTATAAGTTTTAAGTTATCGTATTGCATTAATGTACTGATTAACGCCATCTACAGACGGTTATTAAACAATTTAGGATTGACATATTATTGTTTATACGCAAGATAGCGCTATATATTCATATTTACTTTAATAAATTTAATAATATATTGGTATCAATGGAGTACCATATATTATGATCATATATGATCTAAAGGATTAAACATACATAATACATATGTTTGATCTATGCTCATACAGCGATTAAAGATATACTAAATACTTAATACTTATAAATATATCTTTCAACGTGCCCAAGGTGTATTGATATTGATATCATTATATCAATACACCTTGATCGTGTCTACAGGTATATAAAAATACCTACTATATAGATAGATAGACGACTCCCTATTCCTACAATGCAATAAATTAAGAAGCCGACAAAATGGCCGAAATACTCTTATCTAGGAGGTGAACGTTTACCACGGACTAAGATATACCTTATCTTAGTCCGTGACGTTTACAAAATATAAATTATGATAAACTGTGATAATTTTATGGGGGGAATCCAAAACAATTAAATATGTATTACAATTTACAAATTACAATATCATTATACACATTACACTTACTAGTTACAACACGGACTAAGATATAGGTACTTATATTTTAAATTTTATAGTATATCTTAGTCCATGCCTCAAAATTAAGATTAAAAGTATAATCTATTGCAAAAAACGAGAAATACAATATAGATATAATAAACAAGTTTCAAGCTCGTCCAATAAGGACATGGTTGAATTCTAATGATCTGAGTTCATATTAAAAATAATATAACTTTATGTTATGTCATATTACAACATAATAAAGTAAAACAAAAAAGATTTAATTTAATATTAAATATAAGAGAAAATATTATTAATATATATTATATCTTATACTTAGGTGAAATTACAAAAATTGGTTAAATTAATAATATATTTATGTAATAACAAGCCTCTTCTAATTATTAGACGTTGAGTTCCAAAATAAATGCCATTAAATGGTAGTTGGTACAATTAAAATACAATTATTTTATGATCTTGTATTTATAACCATATGGAATTTACTTGTATTAACTTTAAACATATGGTATAAAATATGTATAATACAATATGCAGCTCATAAGTTTGACCAAAAGTTCAATCCTTAAACTCATGGTAAATTATATTAGTGAAATATGATTTAGTTTTGTGAAGAATGATTTTGATTAATTAATTTATAGTTTAGGGTAAAACATTGTTGTGTAAAAGAGTATGTAAAGCCACACATTATTGAAATCAAATACAAACATTAAATATAAAAAATCTTGATTTAAAAATAATAAACCTATGTAATAATAAATTTGCATTAAATAATAATATTTTTAATACACTTCAATGTGATAATGTTCCTTTGCCAGATAGACTATAAGATAGTATTAATTTCATTATTAGTTAAAAAATATCTAAGTATTCGACCCCATTCTTTTGGCAAAATGTTTTCAACAGAAATTTTAAATAATGTTAGTAAAAGACAAAAATTAACTAAACAAATAATTTTTATGAACCAGTATAGTGGGTATACAATATTATATTATGAAGTACAGACTTTGGGTACCAGTTTTATTTTAAATATTTGTATTATTATTAAATTAATTAATATACTAGTTTTGTTTTATTAACTTGAAATATTTTATATTTATTACTATACTATGTAGTACTAGTATAGATACAAGTTTTGTTTTATTGATTTTAAATATTTTATGATTATTATTATACATGGTAGTATACCGGTGGAGGTTTTATTCATTTGAAATACCTATTTTAAGATTATTATTATACTAGGTTGTATACCAGTTTTGTTTTAGATTCTGAGTGGAACGATAAATGTATTGATTTAACAATGATGTGTGTTTTAGATTCTGAGTGAAACGATGAATGTATTGATTTTACAATGATGTGTGTTTTTTTTTTTATTTTTTTATTTTTTTTTATTTTTTTTTTTATTTTTGTGTCTGTCATCACGTTTTAGGACAGTAAAAGTGCTTGGATTTTCTTCATCAGTAGCTTTTCTGATAGGAAAGTGAATCTAGTTGGTACTTTGGGGGGTCAAAAGTATAAATTTCCCAGTAGTTTTCACAAGCGCCTGGAAAAACAACATAAAAATTAAGGAAAAACGGGAATTTTTACGCAAAATTGGTTTTCCAAAAAATCGATTTTGGTTTTTGGTGTAACTCTAAAACAAATGAACGTATATACATGAAATTTTCACTGGTTGTTTATATTTGCATTTTCTATACACGATAACATTTTCAAAATATTTTGATTTATTTTGAACTGTTTAGGGACATTTTCATTTTCCATTTTTTTTTAGTTTTTTTTCTTAAAATATCAATAAAATTTTATTTGTTGGTTGCGAAAGCTTGAAAATTGAATAGAAGGATCCTTATATATTGTTTCAAAGGCAGATGAAAAATATTAAAAATCCTTAGTCACAATTTTTTTTTATACACATTTAAAGTTCAAAAATTGACAAAATATGGAAAAATCACGAAAATTAGCAAATTATTTGAGTTAAGAATTCGTAAAAATTTTTCTTTTTAAATCTAAGATTTGAAAATGAAACACAAGATTCCTTATAAGATTATCTACCTTTATCAAAAGAAAAATGTCTATAAGAAAGTCAAATTAAATTTTTATGAGCGTTTGAAATTCAAATTTTTACAACATTGAATATTCACTCGATTTCCCATGTAGCGATTTCCTTATTTTGTTGTAATTCAAAAACAAATAACTGTAGATACATGAAAAATTCACTGAATGTTTATATTAGCATTTCCTATACACCATACAATTTTGAAAATATTTTGACTCTTTTTGAGCTGTTTATGTACATTTACAGCTTTCAATTTTTTTTAGTTTTTTTTTCTATAAATATCAATAAAGTTTTATCTGTTGGGCCAAAAAGTGTAAAAATTTAATACAAGGCTCCTGATATATTGTTACAATAGCAGTTGAAAAATATTAAAAATACATAGGCACAATTTTTTTTTATAAGCATTTAAACATCGAATGTTGACAGAATTTTTCAAAATCTCGAAAATTATCAATCATTGAAATTAATAAATTATAAAATGTTCAGTTTTTATAGCTTAGGATTGCAAATTTAAAACAAAGGTTATCATAAATAGTTCATACTGTAACCAAAAAATCTAAAAAATATATGAACACAGTTATTTTTTACAGACATTTTAAATTCAAATTTGGATGAAATTACATATTAAAAAACCTAGAATAACTATTTTAGTTATTTTGTTGTGATTGAATAATATTATTCGTGGGTATTTGAAACTTCTAAAGTGTACTATTATATATCTATGATCAGGGGCGTACTCAGGAATTTTCAATGGGGGGGGGTTGAACATTTTGTTTTTTATCACGGGAACTTTGTCACCTCCTTTTTAAAAATATTAAATATAAACATGGTAATGTACTCTACAGAAAATAAATTTCAAAAATGAAAAATGTTTATTTAAAGAACAATATTCCGATTCCGATTGATTAACGTGTTCATGTTTTCTTTTAAGATTATTGTAGGGTTCAATGTACTTAGAACTTCCAGGCACACTAGTAAAAAATGTTATTATTTTATTTTTATTTTTATTTTTTGACTTTAAGCGTTTATGGTAAAAGAATAAATACTTAAATTTTAATGCTATCATTAATATTTTTCAAAGGTATATTAAATTACTATAAATTGTAATAATTAATCTGTGTGAAATAGACAATAGTACAAGTAATTTTAGTATATACCTAATTTAGAAAAAACAATTAATAATTTTGATTAAGGGGGCCTTGATAGTTTTACATTAAATTTAGGGAGCCTCACGACAAAAAAAATTGAGAAATACTGTACTAGATTATAGTGTAAATTATCTAAATATAATAAATATAACTAGCTGTCCCGGTAAAAGATCATGTTTTTAATGTTGCATTTCAATTTGAAAACTACATATACATTTTTCACTGTTTATTTTTCTAACATAATTTATATTTATTGAAGAAATATATAAACAAATTTTTTGACAAAGGTTGGTTGCTCAATACACAGTCAAATATTAACCAAATATATCATAACGCATTATGTAAAAACAAGAATGATATTCACTTACAAAAGAAAAAAATGAGCAAGGTGCTAAAAACAAGAAAACACCAAAAAACTAAACGATTTCAAAATTAGTTTGAAGTTTATAAGA